TTCTCCCGTATATATATATATATATATATGTTGTCACATTACCCACAATTGATCTGGTTCACACAATTCTGTTGGTTGTCTTCTATTTTATCCAATTCACTTGAGAGAATAGTAATAGTAACAATTAACGCAATAAAGGAAGAGTATACAAATTGAATAGACAAAATGGAAATTAAGTTGGGCTAAACTATCATTTAGGATTATCATACTTTAACATAGAGGGATTAAGACCATGAAAGTTGAAGGGGTTGAACCAACTTTTTCTGTATGCAGAGATCTGGCTTCTCTATTTCGATTTCCTAAGCTTCAGCAATACAGATGAGTCGGATACGCCTTGATTTGGGCCTTATAGTTGTCTTTAAAGGCAGAGACTGTAGAGATAGGGTGATCATTACTGACCAGATATTCAATGATCGTGCTTCTTATTGCTTCACTTTTACCTATTTGTAACCATGGACAAAACCCGAGTCGAACGACTGATGTACCTAGCTCCACATGAGTATGTGAATTGATAAACGCAAATAGAGTTGGTCAACTGCGGGATCTTGTCCCTCAGATTATTGAATACAAATGGTCGACTGGAGAACGCTATTTCGAATGATGCAGCAGGGAATGTCCTTTTCAGAGACAGTGAGATCTTTTATATATGTCCAAACCAAGTTCACTTTTAACAGGTTGAAAAAATTTGGCATTGGATATATGATATTCATTATAATAAAGGCTATTTTTGTATTTCCCAATGAATGAAAAATAAAACGATATTGTTTTTACTGACGTTTCGCTATTTATTACTGATAGCTTTCTCAAAGTATTATTAAACCGGAATTCACAAAATCTCAGCATATATATAACAAAGAGTTAAGGGGTGAGAAAATATACTTAGGTCAAATTAAAAGGACATATTGAAAGTCGAAATAACAATGAAGATCACTAAACCAAATAACAAAGGTAATAGTACATCTGTTATGGTATCAAAACAAAGTTTACTAATTTTCTATAGTTTGGTTTGTAAGGATTAGTTATGTTTTACGAGTTGATCACGGACTGATATCAGTTAGAGAACCATTGAAAACCAGGGAGTACTGGACAGCTGCTGTTTCATCCTAGTTTGGGAATCATCGGCAGTACGCACCCACTGGGATTCGAACCCGGGACCTTCCGGTTACAAGGCAAGCTCGTATACCATTCAGCCACTGGGACCCGATTCAATGGCTCATGAATTCTAACTTCTACCAATTCGTGATTTTAGCGCGACCCCAACTATTGTCGTTGGTGGAAATCCATCCACACGTGACACGTCAATGGTTCTCTAACTGATATCAGTCCGTGATCAACTCGTAAAACATAACTAATCCTTACAAACCAAACTATAGAAAATTATTCTGATGCTTGCTAGTGACTTGCTACAGGTTGGAGCTTCCTGCAGTTCTAGTGAGAAGTCGTGACCAGTGAGGTTCAATTAGAAGTCACGTGTGGATGGATTTCCACCAACGACAATAGTTGGGGTCGCGCTAAAATCACGAATTGGTAGAAGTTAGAATTCATGAGCCATTGAATCGGGTCCCAGTGGCTGAATGGTATACGAGCTTGCCTTGTAACCGGAAGGTCCCGGGTTCGAATCCCAGTGGGTGCGTACTGCCGATGATTCCCAAACTAGGATGAAACAGCAGCTGTCCAGTACTCCCTGGTTTTCAATGGTTCTCTAACTGATATCAATCCGTGATCAACTCGTAAAACATAACTAATCCTTACAAACCAAACTATAGAAAGTTTACTAACTTGATCATCGTTCGTTAGTCTGGGGGCATTTTTCGTTGTCAGTTGGTCAATTGGTGAAGATAACAAAACCAAGTGTAGATTGTTGGATTTGATCAGTGTTTAAAATTATAAAGGCAGTGTGTGTTTACATAGTGAACTTGCATATCACTTTCGTGTTGATTTTGTCACTTCATGGGGGAGGGGGGTGTTGTAACCAGCTTAAATTCTGTCTTAATTCATCATTCCTATTCAGACAATTTGGATTCCGCTTAATATGAAGTGCTTCTGATATGACACGTTCTTTGTGATTTCTGAAATTTCTCTCAATGATTCCAATATTGTCAAAATTAATTTTGTCGCCTGATTCTATAGCGTGTAGACCTATGGCCGGCTGATGATTTTTCAAGCTTTTCTAGTCCAACTGTATTTCTCGGTGGTCGAACATATGCTCTACGGTGTTCATTTCTTCTGATTTTGATTTCTCGAGATGTTTGTCCGATATATATCGCATCACATTCCAAGCATTTTATTTTATAGACACAATTAGATAGAGAATCTCTGGGAATTTGGTCTTTTATATGGACAAGTTTGTTTCGTAGTTTGTCTGATGTTTTGAAGAAAACTCTAATGTCAAGCTGATTGAGTACTCTTCTGATATCGTCTGACGTCTCCACTGTATATGGAATGACGACTGTTGAGGTCCATGTTTTCGGCATGCGCTTTCGGCCATACTTAATGTCGGTGTTGATTTTGTTGATGAAGTCCCTTGGGTAGTTATTTTGCTTGAGAGTTTCAGTTATGTTTGATATTTCTTTTAATTATATCGGAAGCTAAGTCACCTTTGAATCCCAAGCTCATAGAGTAAAGGTAACTCAGGGTAATTCAATCGATCAGGTTGTGAGACTACATCAATGGAGATAGGACTTGTGTTCCGCACCCCTAGTTAGGTAGGTGTAGTCTGTCTGGTTGTAGACCTCGGGATGATGACAACAGATGGCTGGAGACTTATTGTTGATATGGCTGGATATCGTTCTCAATAGTGCGGATGTTTTCACTCTTTGTAACTTCCTAGATCTCTTGAATCTTCTTTTATTTTTTATTCATGTTATTATTCTTTATAACACCCATTTCTGTTCAGTGTAGTTCTTTCGAATAATTTTCTGTCTTTATGTGCTAAATAGAGTATCATCGTAATTTGAACTGCTGAACTACTTTTGCGCAAATATTTATGTTAAAACTCAGTCAGTCAGACAGTGTTTTCTTGTGTATAACATTTAATAACGTCACATAGTGTTACTCTAGTGTCTAAAAACGAGAAGGAAGGAATCATCAATCATTCATCCACGTCTTGAAATAGCGATGAAATAGGCAATGTTTTTTGCAAGCATATAAAAAAGTAACTGAAACTTTATTTTTTTTTAAAAATTTTGTTACATAAATAAAATCTAGAAGCGATCAATAAAAATGGTTTTGCTCAAATTATTTTGTCAGTCGCTAGTTTGAACATTCTCGGCGTATACCTCTCGTTGTTGTTGTTGTTATTGTTGTTGCTCTAACTTTACAAAATATGCTGTTGTATTTGATTTTTACTCTCACTGACATCAGGTCAACGCATTTAAGTACGATACCGGACAGGTTCACTTTCATTCATCACTATTGCCAATAACTTCCGCTTGAATAAAATTAAATAATCTTTCCTTCAATATCAGTTTTTGGAAATCTTTACATAATAATAATAACTTAAACAGTTGTGTTTATCATTAAACTGTGAGGCATTATTATTTCATACTGTTTTTTTTGCGTAAGACAGCTGTAATGGTGCCATTGAGACTGTCAGCATTAACTTTATTATTATCATCATTTTTCAAGTATTGATTTTGTAGGGATTGCGTTTGATTGGTTGAAGGATTTCATCATGAGCTGACGTCGGTTACGGAACCATTGAGAAACCTGCAGGGAGTTTCGTCCTAGGTCGGGACTCTTCACCAGTACTCACCCACACTGTGGAGTTCGAACCCAGGGCTTTCTGGTTACAAGGTGAGCTAACTCGTAGACTATTAAGCCACTAGGAACCTATCCAATGGCCAGCCCATGAATTTTAACTTCTGCCAATCCATGACATAGCGCGACCACTTCTCAATGTCTTCTTCGATGAGTTACTGCCTCACTTCCAACCTGCTGATCACGGCATCCCACTAAAACCCAGGTAACTGACTGAATAGGGTCAGTCGCTATTATTATTATTCTCTTGGTTTCCTAGTGTAGTGTAGGTCTTCAGCAGGACATCGGTATTTTACCTTGTTCTCTCTCGTCGTCTTTAGTTGACTCCGTATTTCACTCTCGGACTCATGCCCGACTCGTCATTTTACATTCTGGGGGGGGGGGGGTGAGGACTGGCGCGTGATGTCACTCAACAACCTCTTCACGTCTAGTTTACTGACCAATCCTAAGCCTGGAAAAAAAGGAAGGGTTATGCGTGTAAGGTTATCGATCCTACCCCGAAAATTAGTCTAATTGTTGTGGAAATTTTACAGCACAGAAAAGATACAAACAGTAGACTTATTCTTCTCTGGAATTGTCGAGAGGAGATGAAAGGGTCTGATGAAGACTATCGGGAAGACGGTTGGTCAGTCGATTGTTTGAAAGCAAAAATAATTTCGATGTAGTTGTGCTCTCTGAGGTGGATGGTTTATTTGCGAAGTTTTCATTGCCCTACTAGGCAACATCTTCAGCGCATACTTCAATTTGAAGTGAGCATTTAGATTTCTTCACAAGTTTATAAGTCATCTCTCCTGGCGGATGTTTTTGAGCGTGATTGGTTGTTGTTGTGTTTCCACACCCACTAGGCAACTTGTATTGGTACTGATTGTTTCCTTGACACAAAAGCAACCAGTCACTTTCAAGGCAACCAACCAGGAGGGATGGCTTATAAACTCGTGGGGAAATCTTAAAGCTCACTTGAAATTGAAGTATGTGCTGAAGATGTCGCCCAGTGGGGCAATGAAAGCTTCGCGAATAGAGCATCCAGCTCAGATAACACGACCACATCAGAATCATCCACCTGAGCTAAAAATCTTCGCCACCATATCTAAAGCAAAAATAAGCATCACAGAGCAGTTATACTATCAGAACATATTCACAGCTTGAAATGCACTAATCTACTGTCGTTAAAAGAACATTATCCTTATTTTTTTTATTCACCTGTATTTATTTTTATTCCAAACTTTTCCTATATTATTCAGGATAACCATATTCATAATTACTCTGATCATAATAACTTTCAGAAACTACATCCAACTTCTCCTTTGGAACTGAGGGAAGCTCATCTTATTGATTTAGATCTGTCAGACAATGCAAGAGATGCTCAAAATCTTACCTCCACAATGTTGAGTAAGTTTTCACCCATTGGTATTTTGGTTTTTTTTCTTGTTGTTGTTGATGATGACGGGATATGCTATTCTCTTTATTTAAAATGCAATTAAGTTATACTGACAAGGTAGCTAGTGGAATTCTCTGAGAAAAATCAGTGTATATAAAAAAACTGAAACTTTGGTTATGATTTTTATATCTATCACGTGTTCACAATCCCCTTCTGCTTGTTAGAACACCGCTACATGTACTGTATCGTAGACCAACAATCGTTGTATTTCTTGATATTAGAGCTATCTTTTAATTAATAGACAAGACTGTTCTTTAGCATTTACTCTTAGTGAGGTGTTCTTAAGGGATTTGTTACCATTCTCAAAGCCAGATACCGAAAACCACCTCAATCAGTTTGAGGACACTTCCAGCTATCACCATTGTTCTCAACCAGCAGTGAGGTTAGACAGGATTGTCAGAATTCAGCATTCCTCTCCAACTGTGGTGATGTTGACACTCACCGTGAATGGCGAAGATGCATATTATCACTTTAAGGAAGACTACTTGTCCTTGAATACGGAGACGACATCGTCTTACTGTGAGGTAGCTTATGGGTTATCCAGATCGCACTTAATCAGTTGACGATCACTATCAGGTAGCATGATACGCACTTTGCACCATCCCTTTGGATATTTTTGTTGCAAGATTGGCAGGACCCCTGCATTGGTAATCATCCTCGCAGTGAACTGTTAGAAGTAGTCCGTATAATAAGTAGTTGTGTGAAGGTTCTTGGAGGTAATACGCATAACGTTTCCCATCGTATACCTAGAGCCTAAGGCGCACATGTTACTCTGATTTACTATTGGTACACTCTACCTCTAAACCACCTCCTGTGCAACGCTGGTGTATACAGTCACACGCCAAACCTGTGAAACCCGGACTCTGTATGCTAAGGATGTGCAGCGACTTTGGCCGCTCGGTCATTTTTGTACACGTAGAATTTCTAGTTTTTGATGATTTTACCATTTAAATGCCTTTCACATCCGATTGCTTATGTTCGCGCATAGTACAGATAGTTTTTTAATAAGTGATTTCATCTTGAAACACCAACCTCGGCAGTTTCAACATGTGTTGCTGATATCATCCCATGGATTCCATATCGTTATCGCGTCTCATGCAACAATTTTTTAGTAATTTCACCTGACTGAAATGTGTTTCGTTTCTTCAGTAGTTTATTTATTAGCCGTGTTGTTCATCTGCATCACAAATTAGTACATTCAGTTTCACTGACATGAATGTGAAAAATGGTTCCTATGGTCGTTTTACCCGATTCCTCTTGCAAAAGAGCTTATTTGTTGTCTACTTATTCGATTTCTAACAAAGTAACCTATATTATTTCAAGTTTTGAATGCAGCTTCATAGTAATTCTAGCTATAGCTGCTTTATGGGCGTGGGAGTAACAATATGCCGCGTGGTTTGTGTTTTGTTTTTGTTTTTTGTTTAAGCTACTATCTTTTAAATTAGTAGTATGAGTATTTTGAAAAAATTCTATAAACATCCGTCTAATTTTTCTGGTGTTTTCACTTTTTATCTGTGTACATACTTAGATAGTGAACTATTTCGTTCTTGTCTAACTGATGTCTCAACGACTACACTTCACGAAAATAGTGTTACCTCCAGCCAATTTTTCGGTAAGTCATGCGTCTATACCTTCTCTCTATATAATATCGTACCAATGCCTAGGATTCCTAATTTTTGTGACTAATCTATACTCTGTGCTTTTGAAGCAAACGGTTTTGATGAGTTATTTAAATACAGCCTTTCCAAGTGTGCTACCTTGCACGACGGACTGTTTATGTTTATTCAATCAATAGCCTTCTGTGCAAGAGTATACATTTGTGTGTACCTTCGCATTCATGCAAATGTTACATTTGTATTAACTTTAGCATATCTAATTTTGAAGGTCTGAGGTAGTGAAGTAATTGGTGCTGGTCACTTTCAATAGGCGTCTATAGGAATCAAGTAGCAGATACCATCTACCAGTTCTGTGAAATGATCGTGGTCATAATGCTGCCCATGCCCCCCTCCCCCAATTGATTTCAGGGTGGCTTGATATAAGTGAAATGGGTGAATGAGTCCTGTTATATCAACATACATACTTGACTAGCAGGCATAACTTAAGGCAGAAAACTTTGTGCTTGCACTACGTAGCTGTCTGCTGCGAAACTGTTACAAAACAGTCTTTCGTAAGGTGTGTCTGCTACAATCACTCGTTCTCCAAATATTAGGCACTAATTAATTAACGATGATGAAGCTTTGGCGATGGCTGAATATCTACTTGAGGTCGCGGTCTGACAATGATTTTGACTGAGGCCTGTGCTTAGTTACTAAATGGAATTACCGAGTCCTGTTAAACTGACTGATGCGAAGTTTTCATCAGACCACTCGTAACCATTTTCCAACCTAATCTAATGTCAGCTATCATTGCTCATCAAGGATGGTGGTTGCTGGGAATGCGTAACACGTGTCCTGGCTATTTTAATCAATGTAGCTTCATGACCTCGTCAATTGACTTTACTTCCTTACCTATTACTACGCCTAAATTCAATTTTGCCCAACTTAATTTACCACTTTACACGGGGAATAGAACTCAGTCATCTATGGGCTTACCTTTTGATATCTTGCACTTTCAATGGCCATGTATTACGGCTACAAAGGAGGATAGAGCCAACTGCTTCCCTGCACACACGTCCGTTGTTCAATAGTCGGACATCATGTCTACGTCAGAGATGACGTGAATTGGCGAATACCCCAAGGGCCTTTTTTATTCGCCCTAAGATTTCGAATTATATAATGGCTAATGCGGACTAACTGGTGTATTGTTTACAGTTGCCATAGGTCAATACAGAGGCTGATTACAAATGTAGTGAGTAAAATAAACAAAGAAAACAACATATGCTTTTCTTCTCAAAGTTTTACTATCCTATCTACTATTACTACTATTATTCTCTTTGTTTTTGAACATTGGACTATTAGGTAAAGTTGGCGATTGAGTGCCCATACCGATTGTTTACTTGATGTCCTAACCTGTCTGATGTTATAAAAAGTGTTTATTTCATTAGTTAAAGATCAGACTTATGAGTACACATTTATACATAATTGCGTACACTTGTCTTTTGCATTATTATTATTGTTTCCTTTAGTTCCTAGAGGAACATAGGGCTTCAGCCGCACGTCCATTGCGTTCGGTTCTCTGCCAACGTTTTCACCTGGCTCCATGTCTGCCCACATGATTTTATCTCCTCTTAACATGACCTCCTCCATGTCACCCTCCCACTGACGACCAACTTGTCGCTTCCCATTCGGGTTCCACTCCAGCAATAGCCTAGTGTGTGATGTCACGTAATGGCTTGTTTTCTCAGAGTATGGTCAATCCACCTCCATTTCTTCCTGCATATTTGTTGCACAATCGATTCCTGCTAGACTGGTTCGCTCCCAGAGATTTCTGTTGCTGATCTTTTCTGGCCACCTGATCTTGAGTAGTATTGAGCGAAGACAGCTGTTGATGATGGTGTGTAGTTCGTTCGAAGTGCTCTTCATGACGCACCATGTCTCTGATCCATAAAGTAGCACTGACTTCACACTGGGGTTGAAAATCCGGATCTTATTTTCATCTTCATACTGAGTGCTGTTGACCTCCACACAGACTTGAGAGAAATGAAAGCTTGCCTTTCTTTGCCGATCCTCGCTTTGATATTCTTGTTAATTCCGCCTGTAGTTAGAACGATGCTTCCCAGGTAGGTGAAGGAGGTTGCTTCTTTCAAATTTCTCCCATTTACGCTGATTGTTGTCTGTTGTTTTTGCTGTTGCTGTTAGCCAGTAATCTTCATCACCTCTTTTTCCTCTATGTTCACCTATCTTTGATGCCTCTTCTGCCAACTTGTTGCATTTCACTTGCACATCATATTCTAGTTTGTGGGAAATCAGACATATATCATCGGCAAAGTCCAGATCCTTGAAGTTTTTTGTGTGAGTTCATTTTTTGCCTGTTTCGTCGCTGCCCACTGTCTGTCGCATTATCCAGTCTACCGCAACCAGGAAAATCATTGGCGATAGTAGGCAGCCTTGCCTTACTTTCGTCTTCACTTCGAAGGATCCCGTGAGTTTCCCTTTTTGGATTATTTGTTATGCAGCATTGTCGTACAGCTGTTGGATGAGATGTATAATTGTTGGTGGCACCCCTTGGTAGTGGCGAAGTAGTTGCCAAATCACCTCTCTATCGACGCTGTCGAAGGCCTTTTCAAAGTCAATGAAGTCGAGATAAAGGCAATAATAATAATAATGTCTTTTGCATATGACATTCATGAAATGAGTTTGTGGAAGTGAGATCAACACACATTGACAAGTCCAGGTTCTTTTTATTATTCACTGAATAGTTACGTGAACTGATGACATCGTTTAAGACAGATAATCGTTAGGAAAAGTGATTTATACTTTTTATTTCACCAATTTGTGTTACGTATATCCTGTTATTACTTCAATTTCTAACGCATAGATCGTCAGTTTATACAAAAACCTGATTTCAACAACAACAACAACAACAACAGCAATAATCGTAATTCCCCTCAAGTAACTACAAAGTATACTATGTCTGCAAATATACTTTGTGTAGCATTTATTGCTTTCTATGAAGATGAATCCGTGTTAACACGTGAACAAATGGTTGAAGGTGTAACATTTTCATCCAATGTTAATTCTGTACATAAATCACGTTCAAGCGAAGCTGATGAATTGGATGAATTAAAGTTAAACAAACAAGAACAATCATTTGATTCTGATACAAGCATACAAGAGCATCATCATCAACAGTCGGATGATTTTAGTGAAAAGTCTAAAGGTAATAGCAGTACTACCAATGGCAGTGTTAATAATCCAACCGGAGATTATTATTCAACAGTAATAAATTCTGCTGCAGCACTACCAGGACCGTCTATATTTTTTGCACGATTTCACGGGTTTATACCAACTCCAAATTGTCAACTGAAGTCTACTGACAACACCACCACCACCAACAACAGTGTTGACGATAAAGATAAAACTCCCTTCAAATGTCAACCTATGCGTATTAATCGTGAAGAAGTTGATACAGGTCGTATGTCCTCTGCTGAATGGGTAGCTCATTTAAAGTATCAATTTTCTAATATGGCCTATCCACGTGATCATTTATGGTAAGTTAGTTTACTTTATTATTTTTTTACTGTCATTTAATTTTTTCTGTTGAACAACCTACAAGAATTACTTAGTTATTATGATAAATGACTGAATTCTTCTGAAGTCACGTGGAAGAGGCAGATCATTATTGTTGCATAACTGCAGAGCTCAGACGAAAACTTCTTGAGTGTTGTCACACACTGCCTGCTCAAAGTAGTTTGTGAAGTTGTATCTGTATGAAGATCTTACCGCCGACTGTGGACCTCCGCAATGTAGGCCGGAATGTACAGTTTTCAGGGTCGACCTATTGCAGACTCCTCCCCAGGGCATAACTGGTTTTCAGGACTTCTGGAGGAGACACCTTACTACTGTTATATTACTATTTGCTGTCAGTACGACTTCATCCTAGGACCTTTCAACCTATTATGAAGAACCCGCACGATGGTAATAATTGTTTTTGGTCTAACTGCTACCCAAACGACCTTTGTGGCATGATAGAACCTGCAGGACCATTCGTTCCAGTCAGTATAGCTCGGTAGATCATTGCAAAGTTGATCACCATATCGGGTATTAAGGTAAACACCTGAAGACAAATTATACTTTAAAACAATATCCATTCACATCTTCAGTCACTTTCATGTGGTGTTTTCAATTGACAGGAACAAGTAATTACAGAAAAAATGGGAATCAAGGTATTCTATTCGAGATCACGCAGTTCTATTAGAGCTTATAGAGAGTTGTCATTTGAAATTTTCATCATGGTTGTACTAACAGATGTGACTCTAATTCAGTTTGAAGATTTAGAGATTGATTTATTACCAGGGAGGAGTCTCGTCGACTTAGAGTATGAGAATGATGCTCTCTTTCTTAGTAAAGACTCTGAACATCTTCAGCAGAAATCTTCGAATGTTTGGCATGTGATTCTCTTCTGTGAAATGTAAGATAATGCTGTAAAACTGAACTGCAGTGACTCTCAGCTCTTAAAGATAGAGAGTGAGGCGATAGAGCATGTTGACCACTTCAATTATTTGAGAATTTGCATCAACCTCAACGGGTCGATTGGTGACGAAATCTCAGCACAGATGCAAAATGACTCGTGTGGCATTTTCAAACTTAAGTCATTTCTAATGTAGACTTGACATCCGGCTATTGACTAAAACACGTGTATACTACACAACAGTTCGTTCTGTTTTTTTTTTACTATGGCTGCGAGACTTGCCCGTTGAAAGTGAAAGACTTGGAAAGTCTAGTCGTCTTTGAGCATAGGTTTTTCATCAACTGCATACAACCTGAGTAATAAACTGCATAAGCAATTATAACGAAGTAATTTAAACATACTTTAACTGAATAGCCAGTACATTTTATAAGAGTAGAATAACAAACCGAAAACGGGGACGCCAGGTACAAACTATGCGGGAAGTTAGAACAATCTATTATAAGCAAAATACAGAGAAGAATGTTCTAGAATTTTAAGGATAATTCACACATAACTGGAGTTGGTGAAAAATTATTTAATCGAAATGAAAGAGGTCAAGAACAATAAAGGTACGAAAGCAGATGAAGACAATGACTGTGTTACTTCATAACAAAATAAAATGAAATTTCAGCAACTTTATTATTCAGGCTGTATGCAACCGATGAAAGCCCTCTGAATTGATCTTATCTTAGAAAATCACCTCTCATCGGGTTATTCAAATTTGTCAAGAGAAATAGTTGTTTGAAGTTACTGAAACACCAACTACTGATTTATTTAAAAGCTATTGTTTGAGTCAGGTGGAAAAGAGTAGATTGCTTTGGCTGTGTAGAAATTGAAGAATCAAAAGGCATATCAGACCATCTAAATTTTAATCACGAATTCACTTCAGTTAGAGAACTATTGTAAACTAGGGAATACTGGACAGTTGTTTGGCTTTGTTTGCGTCTCTTCATCAGACCGCATCCATGACAGTACCAGAGATCAAATCCAGGACCCACAGACTCATAAGGAGAACTCGTATACTATTCAGCCACTGAAATGAAATCCAACTCTTACCAATTCTCAATAAAGCATCACCGCCAATCAATGTCATCGGTGAGCACCTGACCTCACTTCCTTCAACTGGATAGACCCCACTAATCACACCTCAAACTAAGATGACACAGCTGTCTAGAACTCCCTGGTTTTGGTCAGTTCTCCAAACTGAAACCAATTCGTGGGCAACATTGAAATCAATCAAATCAATCCCCGTAAAACTAACACTGAAACAATAATTCATAATTATTGACGAGTGGCACACTTGTATTCACCCCCCTATTGTCTTTGAAGCTCTAAAATAGGCCTTTATTAATCCCGTTTACTTTACTATCGTTCTACTACAACTATTCCCCTTTTATTGTCTGTGTCTATATATGTATGCATGTATGTGTCTGCTCTTTCTAGGTGATGCACACCTGCGCTACACGCACACACACACACACAACATCGATCTGTTTACCTGTAATTTGCATTGTATTTCTGTGTGTTTGTGTGTTTATTTCATTAGTTTTTCTGTGTTGTGTTTTATAATTTCTTATTAGTAGTTGCCTCAACAACAAAAAATCTATTTTTAGTTGATTAGTAGAACAGGTGCATTTTATCCTCTGTTTTCATTAAATCAATATTATGTCATGTGTTGTAACTTACACTTACTTTACATATATATATATATATTGATTAGTCACAAATTGACTAATTGTATTTTTAGTCCTGCACAATACATACTGTTGGAGATCTTTTTAAAATGATAGACATACTCTGATCAATTTCTAGCCTGTTCTATGACATAACAGTGAATTTAATTCACAATCGGCAAGTCGGATTCGCCATTCTCAATTTACACAGTTTGAAGGCGGCGTTGGGGGTGGGGAAACACCATACTCCCCATTAGAAACTGAAATTATTTAGATCACAATATTTGATCTTCTACGGTGCCATAAATGGCAACCGAGAAGAAAGCATAAATGCATGCATGCATGCTAATGATCTTGGCCCCCAAACGACCGAAACGCCCGTCCAGCGCGTATTACCTCACCTCGGTTTGGTTTTATGCGGCTAACTCCCAGCTACTTATATCTCTCAGTCAGTAGTATGTAGTGTCATACAATTATGCTTGCTTTCTTCATTGTCTGTCATGGTATAAAGCAGATCACACTTACTATGACCTGAATAATTTCGATTTTCACAGGAAATTGCAGTGAAGTTCTTCTGTAACGGTAGAAGACGAAAGACATGATAAAGGAATTTAATTGGTGGATGGTGACTAGCAGTGGAATCCAGAATGCACATTTCGTTATCCACTAGACGACTTGGGCCACAAGAGCCACCTCTTGTGCAACAGGTCATATTAGTTATTTAATTTAATTTTATATTTTCCCGTCTATTGATTGGACCGAAGTACTCGGTCTCAGGTTGACATGTCGGCTTCTTGTGCAGATGCTTTGACTATGTCTGGGCATGTAACTAGCGGTTAATTAGTGGGTGGTGACTAGCAGAGAAATCCAGGATTCTTCTGTGCAAGATTCTTCTGCACAGGAAGCCGACATGTCAACCTGAGACCGAGCACTTCGGTCGAATCAATCAACGGGAGGAGCTCAAATTCAATTAAATGATAAAGGAATGTTAATTTTCAATTTGGTATCTCTATATATAGTGGAGTTATGTACACCTTATCTTCGACGCATGCACCATTTGCACAGATATTCCGTGTTGTCCTACTTCTGGCCTTCCTTCATATTGTGTTTCTTTGTGTTCCTTTCACGTCGTCTCCCATGTATCTCCACAAGGCTGTATCATTGGTCTTCTCTGACATCAAATGTATCTATCTGCCTGCTATTTGATGGTCTTTATGTCGATAACGTCTCTTTATATACTACTGATAAATCTTCTCAGTAGCACACGCCACACTTCTAACTGCGAATCTGATTTATGGTATTACCAATTCGCCTAGTTAGCTGGCCAGAATTTGGTGGGTTGTTTGAACTGATTTGGCTCTGTGAACTGAGTCAAACCCCGGGTGCACCACTGATGAGCTTGACCGTTAATTGAGTGAAACGGTGTTTAAATCACCTCGATCTGGCTAGGAAGCACTATACGTTGATATGAGCAGCATTCAATCAATCAGTAATATGTAGTTTCACAGATATCCTGTAGGTAGTTCACTGCGTGTATATATCTGTTTATGCTGTACACCGGTCTCTTTACTGCATATACTTTCTGTTTTTCCCCTGGTATTAATCAGGATCAAACTCCTATTTTTGAAAGAAGTAAAAGAATTTTGATTTTTAAGTTCATTTTTTGTTTATTTAATTAGGTGTGTATCATATTATTGTAAAGGTAACAGCTGTTTGTTGGTTAGATTATGGTGTTATTTTTTCACGGCTATGATGTAGTCTAATGGTTTCAGGATTATTTGTGTTTGTTTCTACATATGCGTGCGTGTATGTGTGTGAGAGTGAGTGAGTGAAATACCCTATTTTCCAATCTGATTATCAGTGTTTCTGTAAATCGATCGGTCCATCAATCAATCAATCGATCAATCAATTGTCTGGCTTTTATTATTATTATTTATTATTATTATTATACGAAATACTTGGTGGTAAATTTTTTTGTTGTTGACAGAATTTCAAAATATTATGCCTTACGAAGTATTTCTGTCTATCTAGTAGTCTCATTACTACTGTGTGGTTTTCACTTTGTGTATTCACTTCAGACAGTTTCGTTGACACGGTGTATTTTTGTGCGCACTTGCGGAGTGGGGGTGGGGGGCGTTGGGTGGTTGTTTTCGCGTCATAGTAAAACGATTCAGTTGGCTAATCACATGTGTATTGTAAGCATAATTTATGGATTATTATGAGTCACGCCTATCATAAAATATAATTATATTATATCTAGATGCCAAATACTATCGTTTAAATGAGGTAAATTTTATGATCCAAATTTATTGGGCTAGTGATTTTGTTTTCAGCTAGATTAGATTGATCCTTATCTGTAGGTATCTTATTAAACGCATAGAAAAACGTATGCTTCTGCTGGTGAATCCAGTCCACACATATGAAATAAATTATATAGACAGAACATTTTATCTAATTTAATAATAATAAAAATAATTTGCTTTATTCCAAAACAGTACTTGTGATACAGAATGGAATTCTCAGCATTTCACTACAGTATTGCATCCAGTTTGTACATTAACAATAAATAAAATTCTACATGGATTAAGGAAATCTCAGTTCATTATGACAACAACATATTGGCATGTCGGTAGCAAAGGTAAAGCTGAACAGAATGTTTGAAGGTGTTCGAAAAGTAGGTGCTGTGGCGTGAGCGAGAGAAAGAAACAAAGCAGCACATAACGGAAAAGACAAGAAAAAAAGAGAGAGAAAAGGAACAGAAAAAAGAGAATGTTGTACCTATAAATGATATGAGTTGGAAAGACGAGGTCCAGTTGTACTACTGACTATTTAACGAAATATAGGTGTCACGCCTAATGCTTTCTTTATCGCACAGAACACGAGCTAAGTAGGGTATGGTTGAGTTTTTGTACTTGCTGGTACGAGCGTATAGTTTTCTATATAGGCTTCTGGTTTCGCCTGATGAGATGCAAGGGGAGAGTTGTGAGTGAAGAGGGTGGTATGAGTTAGATAGAATGGATTTGGCCCATTTTTCACATGAGTCCATGTGTGGAACAAAAATAGTTGTATATATATATATATATATATATGATCACCAGCTAAGCGAGGTTTGGGAGTGAGTTGGCCGAGGATCTAACTCCGGACCATCTGAGTGACTGACGAACATTCTACCTCTGCGTCACCGATGCACGTTCATGAGACTATCTGAGGGTCAATTACATTTTTCAACCAAATCCTTTTCATCTCAGTAATAGGTTGACATGCGCCTCTGTGAATGGTTTTGATCCATACATACCACCAATAGTCTGAAGACATGAGTTCTTATCATCCCGAGGATCCCTACATGGCTAGTTCAAACCAATTGTCAAAGACTTCATGGACTGGTGCTAGGTTTTTATATGACTATCCCTAGCCATTTCCCTACCTGATACAATGTTGGTTAACATTACCTGTTGAGGAAGCCTATGGCTTGGTATGCGTAACACACGTTACAGCTATCTCAATTGATGTCGCTTCACAACCTGTTCGATTAACTTACCCTCCCCCCTCTCCAACCTTACCTAACACTCTACTCATAACATTAATATTGCTTACCATATTATATAACGTTTAACACGGGAAACAGAACACGAACATCTGTTGTCCTGTACTTGGCTATGATTTTACTCATCTCTATAATTATCAACTTTTAAATGTTATTCATTATCAGATTGCTGTTGTTCAATGCATATACTTACTCTTAATCGTATTTGTACCAAATAAAAATGTACTTGATTGAAGAAGCTCATTATAAATTTCAAATGACTGAGATTGGTGAACAAGAAGTTTTTGTATTTCCCAATCAATATAACAGAAAAAACGATATTGTTTTTACTGACGTTATTGCTATTTAATGCTACCGATTGCTTCATCAAAGTATTATTAAACCAGAATCTATAAAATCTCAGCCTATAAATAACAACTTAATCATCGTTCCTCAGTATGAGGTAATGTTTACATTGTCAGATTGATCAATTGGTAAAGGAAACAAAGCCAGGTGTAGATTATCGGATTTTGATAAGTGTGTAAAATTATAAAAGCAGCGTGTGTTTACATAATGATATTGCTTATCACATTTCTGTTGATTTTGTCACTTCATGGTGGAGGGAGGTGTTGCAGCCAGGTTAAATTCTATCTTAATTCATCATTCCTATTCAGACAATTTGGATTCCGCTTAATATGAAGTGCTTCTGATATGAGACATTGTTTGTGATTTCTGAAATTTTTCTCAGTGATTCCAATATTGTCAAAATAAATTTTGTGGTATGATTCTATAGCGTGTAGACGAGCTATGGTTGATGATTTTTCAAGCTTTCCTAGTTCACTAACTGGATTTCTCGGTAGTCGAACAGATGCTCTATGTGGTGTTCATTTCTTCTGATCTTGATTTCTTGCGGTATGTATCACACCACATTGCGTTCCACAAACAGGGACAAGGTAGTAGAGTTTTGGTTGTTTTAAGTGAATTGCACTGGCTTCTGTTGATTGAAGTATTTGGTACCTAGAGACCTTTGGCAATACATTCGATGATTGTAAAAGAATCTTCGATGTTGCCTTTATTGACCAGGGGATGAAATACCAACCTGTTAGTAGTTTTTACTACATCTTTATTAAGACACACTGGTACGTATTCATGAGGACAAGAAATTAAGTTGATATAGCAACATCTAAGTATAACTAGCTCCACTGTAGCAGTCTAGTGGTTAGATAGATATACGAAGACGTGTTTAACCTTGTCTGAACAGACTATAAGGCCAGCATTAAAACAATTATCTGTCAAAGGTCTCTAGATATATTGAATGCTTGAAACAGCAGAAGTTGTTATAATTCACTCGAAACAACCGGAACTCTGCATACAAAAGAAACAGGTTTAGCCATTATTGCTACCCCGGCCTTGTTATAGAACCTATAAATTCATAAACTCTATATG